GGGGGGGGGTTTTGAGAGCTGCTGGGCCTAATACAAAATATAAATTATATTGGCGGGACTTAATTTGAGCGCTTTGCCTTTAGCGCTTCCATACATTGATGTTTTAGTGCGTGTCAAATGGCAGTTTTGCATTGTATGCTTCCCAAGGAGTTGAGATCGTTTCAGAGTGGTCAGGTCTGCTGGGGTAATAATATAGATTGTAAATCGCACAGAGCTCGAAATTGAAGGGGAATTTGCGCAACACCAAAGCTGTCAATTACTACTTATTATTGCTTCTACTTCTATTATGTTTAGTCGGTATCGATGAAGAATTCTGTTTTGCAAATACACATATGTTTTACATGTTTTTGTTCTAAAAGGGATGACTGGAATTTGTAGACTCCTCTTTTCGTTGGCAAAATACCAAATTAATTGGTATTGACAATCTATTATTTGTTGTCTCTCGCTCACCACAAGGAGGTGGGAATAGGCTTTGGAGCCCGATAGTGATTTATTGTTTAGACTCATCTGCATAAAAATGTGGCTAAAATGAGTACAAAATAAACCAAGAATAGAGACTACATGCATTTACACACTGACAGGTAATATTTTTGTAGAATGATCGCTCAAAAAAACCCCAAAACATATGCAAATAACAACAACCAAAACTAACCCAGTTGCTTCATTCTTCCAAACTGATATTCTCGCAAAAAAATAAAAGAAATTCTACCTTATTTTCTATCTAAGGCTGTCGTTTGTCTTGTGTGTCTGGTCTTCTGGGGGCTCTTTTTATTAGCTGCGTTCTCTATTGCCCAGTCTGGACACTATTAAGGAATGCAAATAATACTATTATATGAGTTCGAGGGCTTGAAAATCTAATGCGTTTCGATTTTAAAATTTATTGGTATCAAGAAGTGAGTTGCCGGGCAGTCATTCAAGACTAAGAATTGATAACCCACGCCCAGGCAGTTTATGATTGTCTGAACTTGACACTCAATCCTTTCAGATCGCTGGTCAAGGACGTTTTTCTTACTAACGATAAATTCATGATTTTTATCGACAACTTTATAAGGTCACGTTGATTTTAAAAAACAAACAAGCAAACAAACAAACAAACAAACAGCAAGTTCCCAAATCAAGATGCTTTTTACACATTAAAGCGCTTAAAGCTAGTTGTCCCTTTAATCAAGTCCGCTCAAACCAGGCGGTCACAGAT